GCTTGAAGTCCAGTGTTAAGTTTGCACAGTCTGTGATGATTTGGGGTGCAATGTCATCTGCTGGTGTTGGTCCATTGTGTTTTTTGAAAACCAACGTCACTGCACCCGTTTACCAAGAAATTTTGGAGCACTTCATGCTTCCTTCTTCTAACCAACTTTTTGAGGATGCTGATTTCATTTTCCAGCAGGATTTGGCACCCGCCCACACTGCCAAAAGCACCAAAAGTTGGTTAAATGACCATGGTGTTGGTGTGCTTGACTGGCCAGCAAACTCACCAGACCTGAACCCCATAGAGAATCTATGGGGTATTGTCAAGAGGAAAATGAGAAACAAGAGACCAAAAAATGCAGATGAGCTGAAGGCCACTGTAAAAGAAACCTGGGCTTCCATACCACCTCAGCAGTGCCACAAACTGATCACCTCCATGCCACGCCGAATTGAGGCAGTTATTAAAGCAAAAGGAGCCCCTACCAAGTATTGAGTACATGTACAGTAAATGAACATACCTTCCAGAAGGCCAACAATTCACTAAAAATGTTTATTATTGGTTTTATGAAGTATTCTAATTTGTTGAGATTGGTGGGTTTTTGTTAAATGTGAGCCAAAATCATCACAATTAAAAGAACCAAAGACTTAAACTACTTCAGACTGTGTGCATTGAATTTATTTAATACACGAGTTTCACAATTTGAGTTGAATTACTGAAATAAATTAACTTTGCCACGACATTCTAATTTATTGAGATGCACCTGTATGTGTAGAAAACAACACCGTGCGTCTTTTCCATTTACATACAGAGACACGCAGAACATGCTGGATCCATATTTAAATAGTATTTTTGCGGCTTAATATTTACAGATACTAGTCCATATTGTGACTCTATTTAAGTGTACTGACCTACTTTTGATTCATTCATCCAAACTTTGACAAATTCCGTGACATTCCGCGTCATACAGTAAATTCCATTTATATGACTGGATTCCGCGATTCCGTCCGCTTTCTCTGCATCGCGGAAATCATAGATAATATTGAGGTGTTTTGCAACTTCAGTGCAACGTTAGTGGATTGGGATCTATTGCAATTTAAGCAACATCTGCTGCTACCTTACCTTACCTAGAGACAACTGATGCGTGATCACTGAAGCAGCTCCAGTTAGCAAGCGCTTTCGGAGTGAGAGTGAAGTCCGCATTGATTGGTCGGACTCATGACTCCCAACAAATCAGATGAGCCGTGAGCGGAGACTGCTTTAGGCCACAGAGTGGTGAGTTCTTACAGGCTGCATCAGAGTCAAATAGCGCGTTTCAAAATTGAGTTATTTTATCGGCGAATCGGTTTTGAAAATGACTGATACCGATAATCATAAAAATGCTTAATATCGGCGGCGATAATCGGCCAGGCCGATAATCGGTCATCCCCTAGCGGCAACCACATGTGGCGACCCCGGTCTGGAATCCGCTTCGTCCACGGTGAAAGCCGATCCGGCGATCCACAGCGCAAAGTTGATGTATTTCCTCAGCGACCAGCACAGATCAGCTCTAGGCATGATGAAGCGGATATCGTCCTCTTTTGGAAGGCCAAACAAAGTAGTTTAGCTTTAACAACGAAACACAGCGTCTCCACGACATGGCGGTGGCAACAACAATACTACATACAGCGAGAATAAAGGTTACACCTTCTTTCTTTGTGTGAACATTTGGGTGGCGTTATGCAAATCTTCCCACACAGTGATGTAGACATGTGGGGGCGTGTTTAAACAAGGCATTTTAGGAGGGCGTGGAACAGTCTTAACTTTTATAAAGAATATCTCTTTGGGTTTGAGACTTTAGTCTTTGCAACTTTATGGATCTTATCTATGCACGAACAGCTTGTAACACTCCAAAGAGAACGGAATATGTGAAATTGCATCATATGACCCCTTTAATATGTAATTATTTGCACTTCAAGGCAAAACTCACAATGTGCAACTTTTCTATCTGAAAAATAAATGGGTTGTGGTGTTGGTATATGATATGTAGATAATTTGAATGATTATGTTGACTGTTAGCAATTCAGACACTGACAGTATTAGTACTAATTCTGTCTGAATCGAAAACAAAATCAAGACAATTTTCTTCACACGCACAACAAAAACAGGTTTTGCATGTTTTGCAGCTGACGTGGTTAAATGCTCAGCAATGAGGATGCTGTCATTCATTTCAGATTGATATAATAATATTTAGACAGCACATTCATACATGCTATGATTTTCACAAGAGCTGATGTGTTGGTCATTGACCAATACAGCACATGATAGGTTATACTATACTTTACGCATGATTTTACACATTTATCTGAAATCGGAACAATGTCGATATTAATATAGATATTTTTTGTTGATTTACAATACAAATAATGGTTAAATTTTATTTGCACTTACAGTGTTCTTACCTAAGAAAGTACAGGATAATATAGGGTAATTACTTGGGTTAGGTTTAGGGGTAGATTCAGGGTTAGTATTGTAATTACTATAACAAGTGCATAGTATGTAGATGTGGAACAGGACTGTAAAATAAAGTGCTACCCAAATAACAATACAATTTAATTCCTAATAGTCTCCAAATAAAGGTTAATGCTTTCAAAACCATTAACACAGACAGTAAAACCATATTCTGAAATGCGCAAGTCACATTGATATAATAATTGATATTGTATTGATATCTTCTGGGTTAATAATACACACACACGGTGCTACCTGCTTTTTCCCCATGAAGCCAGGAAGGTTCCCTTCCTGACTGGCATCATGTCTTGTATATGAAACTGCTTACTGTATTTCAATATTACTATTGTATCATGTTTCATGTTATCTTTATCAGTTGTTGCTACCACAATAGAATTATTTATCTTCATGCTGTTTATAATACAAACATTTGATATTTTAGATACTTTTAAAGCTATTCTGTCTGGTCTCAGGATTTTTCATTTGAAAATGAACACCACAATTTCGGAATACAACCTACGTTCCTGTATTCTATATAAAAGAAATTTAACATTTTGTGCACTTTACAATAAAATCTCAGTCATTAGTTAATGCTTTATGTAATATGAACTAAAATTAGCAATATATTTCTTACAGCATTTATTCATATTTGTTAGTTAATAAAAATAAAACTGTTCATTGATCATTCATGTAAATTCAAAGAGGATTAGGCAATATCAAAAGATATTAAGACTGTATAAAATGTATTAACAAATGTTGAAATTGACATACGATAATAAATGCTGTTCATTGTTTGTTCATGTTAACAATGTAGTTGACAAATGCAACCTTCTAGTTCAATGTTACTCAAAGAATTGTTTTCTCTAAATGTAATTCATAACACTGAACAGACAATCTGTGAAAGTAACATGCAGCATCAATCATCCTATTATTTAAGGTTAAAAATGTCAGCTGCTTTGTTGCTGTCCTGCCCAGTAGAGGTCTGATTTAAGCTTCTCCATGATAAAAAAAAAGACTGAAATTAAAACATCTGAAAGTATAATTTTGTTAGAGACTATATTAAATTTATTCTTAAAAGCATATTATCTTAATAAAAGTAAAGTGAGAGCAGCTAAGCTTCCCTAAGGCAATTACAGAGAGAGCGTCAAACAAATATGCAATGCTGAAATTCAGGTAACGATGTGCGAATTCAGGAACATGCTTTACATTTCAAGGATGTCTCTGTGCTGCTCCACCTGCGACAGCAGTGAAGAAAATTGCAATGCAGACTAAGCATCAACTGACTGAGCTTTAACTGGAAGAAAAGATCTGACTAGTTTAGTCATCACTCAAAAAGGAAGGAAAATTAGGCTTATCTATATCGTTTATTTTTCGCAATATGATGTGGATTTTATTACATTTATGGTAACCTAAAGAACTGAACAAAGGACTAATAATGGGTAAGGGCATGCAGCTGATAAATGATCACAATACTATGTGTTATTTGTATATATCTCAGAATTGTCACACTGTTAAATTAGACCAAGTATGAAGATTCTTTTTTGGTATATTCAAATTTAATAAAATACTGCCATTTTATCAACTGCCAGATGCAATTGCTAGGACAGCGGTTTTGAATATGTAATAGAGCTGTGCCATGCTATTCTTACATGTTAAAAGTTACTTTAGTGAGATTTTGGGTTTCTCCTTTCCTTCCTGAAAAACATAAGCAATTTATTTATTAGGTTAGTCTCTTTAAATACAATGAATGTGTTCTCGACACATTTTACTGGATGTGTGGTAAACTATGCAAAACTGGTTTTAGCCCTATTGATTTAACACATAACATTCACACGTCATCTTTGTTCATTGTTTTCAAATGGCATTTCCGTGTGAAATCTTTCAGTGCTGGTAATAACTTATTGTAAGCTGTGGACTTTTTAGTGATCTGTATTTGGATGATAAACATCAACACTTAAAATTACTATTAAGGGGGTGTATGAACAATTTATGAAAAAGTCTGGGAACACTTTAAGGCCCTTGTCGTTCAAAAATATTGGGGCAAACGTAGACATTTCTAAAAAGTGGATAAAGAGTTTTACTGGTCAACATTAAAAAAGTAAAGAAAACTATTAATTGTTTTCTCATATTGTAATCTGTGTAATGACTTCTACAAAACTATGCAGAAATCATCATCAAGCATGTTTAACCATGTTCATATTTAGAAAGCACAAATGTGACCCTGGACCACAAAACCAGTCTTAAGTGTCAATTCTTCAAAATTGAGATTTCTACATCATATGAAAGCTGAATAAATAAGCTTTCCATTGATGTATAGTTTGTTAGGTTAAGACCATATTTGGCTGAGATACAACTATTTGAATATCTGGAATATTGAGAAAATCGCCTTTAAAGTTGTCCAAATGAAATCTTTAGCAATGCATATTATTAAACAAAAATTAAGTTTTGATATATTTACGGTAGGAAATATCTTCATGGAACATGATCTTTACTTAGAAACATAAAAGAAAAATCTATAATTTTGACCCATACAATGTATTTTTGGCTATTGCTACAAATATACAGTACCTGTGCGACTTAAGATTGGTTTTGTGGTCCAGGGTCACAAATACTCATAATTCAGTCAGGCTGCCAACACAAACAAACAAATAACACATATATCTCAATGCATACAAATAATATCCAAAAATGTCCACAGCACTATTTTTTTTCCCTCAAAACTGGTTTATACTGAAAGCTCTCTATATTCTAAGGATTTGTTACTTGATGTTGTATTTTCTTGGGAATTAATTTCCTGCAACATCATCTAAGAGCAGCAGTTGTCAACCAAGAGGCCTCAAAATGACTTAAAATGATTGTTAGGAAAAAGAGAAGAAGAAGAATTAAAATAAGCTAAAGCATCTAATTATTTCAACATTCAACTTACATTCAAAAATGGACAATTTTATAATGAATATTTTTTTCTGATAATGCCAAGCTCTAAAATATTTTATCAGGTAGATAATACACAGCTTTTAGTGTTTTACTGTACTAGCAACTGTAAGGCAGTATGACGTAATGTAAAATATATACATAGCCTACATAAAATTATGTTACATTGTTCAGCTAATTATGTACAGCACTGCACATTATAACATGTCAATGTGCATGTGTTTCTTGCAAAAAAGCAAAAACAAAACTATGGCATGTCATGAAGTCAGACACTTGGTGGGTTTTTGAGTTCACTTGAACCACTTGAATTTGTGAGCACAACAAACAAACCCAAATTCCTACAGTTAACCATGGAATAGTGCTGCTTCATGCTTGCTGCTTAAGGTCTAGAGGCTTCATTTATTAATGAACAAAAATTGATATACAGACAAAGTGTTGCTCGTATATTTGAATTTATTCTTAACACTTTTGTCTGCTATTTTGAATTGAATTGAATACCTTTATCGTTGCAAGTAGCATGCAACAAAATTTCATATCTCTCATGGAAATGCAACTATATCCATCTACATTCACCCTCATAAAAACCATGCATATAAATAAATAAATAAACATAAAAAATGAGATGAATTAGTCCTATAAGAAACCTAAAAACCAATATTAAAGTGACTTGTGCATTTCTTTGCAGTAGTATGGCACAGTCCATCCTTTCAAAATTTTAGGGGTAGTTATGAAGAAAGAAAAACGTGGAGGAAAGAATTCAGTTTGAGTATGGCTGTTGGGTAAAAGCTGTTTCTGAATCTGGAGGTGCGAGTCTTTTAAGCTCTGTAGCATCTTCCAGATGGCAGTAGTGCAAACAGATTGTGAAAAGGGTGAGTGCTGTCCAAGCGGCAACCTCCCACTCTATTTTGCGAAGTGACTTAAACTGTAATTCGTCAGCTGGCCGCTAGAGGCTGGCTGCAAAAGGGAGTCAATCCCATAGACTTCCCATGTTAAAATGCCCAAATTTACAGCAGAAAAAAACATATTTACAGCCTGGTTCAAAAAACTATTTTGGTCTATATACTGTAGCTAATTTTGCCCTTCATGACAACTGTGAGGGGGGTGAATTCTGTTTATAACTCATCCTTGATAATAGTACAGGCTCTGCTCTGACAGCGAAGCCTGTAGATGTCATCAAGGGTGGGGGTAGTGAAAGTCTGATAATCTTTTGTGAGATTTTAATAACCCTTTGCAGTGCAGCTCTTTCAGCCATTGAACAATTTCCATACCAGACTGTATGGACTAATGCAGTATGTTAGAATACTTTCTGCCGTACAGTGATAGAACGACTTCAACAGTCTGGCAGAGAGATGGGCCTTTCTCAAAGTTCGGAGAAAGTAAAGTCTCTGTTGGGACTTTTTGACCAGAGCAGCAGTGATAACAGTCCACTTAAGGTCACTAACATGGATGCCCAAGAACTTAAAACAGTACACTCTCTCCACCTCCTCTCACTTTATTTCCAAGGGCTGAAGTTCCTCTCGATGTCGCCTGAAGTCTATGACTAGCTCCTTTGTCTTAAATTGTTGTCTGTGCACCATTCAACCAATCTATACACGTCATCTCTATAGGCAACCTCATTGCTATTTGATTGTCTAACTAAATTACTTAAAGAGCAGGTCATATGGTATTTTAAAGTGTCCTAATATTGTGTTGGCGTCCCCTACAGCAGGTTTAAATGCATCTACGGTCAGAAAACATTGTAATTTTCTCAGAATATACATTTAACATTAGAGTAATTTGCCAATGATTTCTAAACGATTCGTTCCAAGCATAGACTGTATAAAAACATGGAAGTAGTGTCCGTGACATCACCCGTAGGGTTCCGAAGTGAGTTTTTGAAGCTCAAAAGTGGGCAGAGCCGGCCGTCGCCATCTTGACAGTGCGTCACCACGCGTAACTCCCGGATAATCGAAGATGGGCAAAGAGGCGGGAGCTGGTTGTTGAAACCACACCCACCTAGCTCGATGGTGGTGACAGCAGCGGCAATCCACCTGTCACTCAAGTGGCCACGCCCTTAATTATGCAGCACTTTAAGGCTTAATATAATTTAAACGGATGAGTTATAAAAAAATTTTTAGGAAATAGTGGGTTCACAGCTAAATTATCAGAACTACTTCAGTAAGACAATAATATCATGCTTTACCTGGAAACCTGTAGCTGCACTAGGTGTACATCACATATTAGCACAAAAACGTTTTGAGCACTCAATTGAAAATGTACACATAACATATCAATCATACTTACAGGTTGTGCTTCGGAGAGCTTGTTAGTCCAAATTAAGAAGATTAGAAGAAGCCAATGAAGATAAAAGCCAAGATTAGAGAAGCAGTCCTTGGTAAAATGACATGCACAACAAAAGGTTTGAATTGTATATCTGTGGTATCCTTCAACACAGCGTCTTCTCGACATGATGTAAACACACTAACTAGCGGAAGTGTTTGTGGGCAGGTCAGACTCGCCAGTGGGCAGGGATTATGCAAATGTGTTACCCAGTGACGTATACCGGTAACAGGCAAAATATTCGAAAATATGACCACTCGTTAAGGCGATTCAGAATTGACTCTCTCTTTTGAGAGACAATATCTTTATTTATCATGCACTTTTTTGATTAACAACTTTGCAGATTGTTTTCATTTAAGGATAGCTACCTTATAAACTGCAAAAGAGATATTTTTTCAAAAACCCATATGACCTGCTCTTTAAAATCCAGCAGGTTAAATTTCAGATAGAATAGCAGGAAAAGAAAGTGTACATGTCTTAGTTAAATGAGAATATGTATATTTATATTTATACATTCATGTATATAAAATATTTAAGAATTGAATCTCTTGAACAAAAATGCAAAGAGAATATGCACATCAAAAACTGAATGAATCTAACACTGACCAGCTGACATTAAGATTTTGCTAATACTTCTATAATGTGGCCTGTGATAAAAAAAAGAAGAAAAAAAAGAAAAGCCAGTTTGACCCGTTTGTTCTGTTCAAGTTGCTTCGTCATCTTCCTAGCAAGCTGAAGAGAACATTTATTTCCCCCAGCCATTCAGGCATTGACATTTTTGTGACTGGTAATACCAAAAACAACTGAGCTAAAAGAAAATAAATCTGATAACATCACCAGCATCAGTATAAGCATAAATGATGCTTTCTGACTGTAATATTATATCCAGTGTCCCAAAGTCCCCCTGCTAGAAGCACCGCCTTCTTTTGTTGTTAAGTTTGTGTAATAATTTTTCATGTATTTGCAGGAACACGGGGTGACATGAAAAGGACCATGTCCCCCTTAGTGGTTCTATTTATTATTATAGGTAAATATCTATTCAAGTTTTTAATGTTTGTACAACATACAGTTGCAAAATGTTTACAATGTTTACTGCAAAAAGAGTCAAACTAATGGTAATTATATCTATTCCATCAGGATTGTTGGGGCCAACATGTGAAAATCTAAATAATTTGACGGATTCAGGTAAAAACAAATTATCTGTCATTGTCTACAGTGGTAGACTAGTAACACCAGTAAATTAAAAAAACATTTTTTTAAAGAAATATAATCAATAACTGCTGTTTTCACATACCCTATTTTTATAACTAATATCATTTTTATTATTACCTCTTTCACATCATCAGCAGTTTCACATCATATGCCCTCACCAGACCAAAATGACAGGACCCAATTGAATGTAAGGTCATAGCACATTTACAATTTTTCACTATCAATTGAATACATTTTAAATGGCATTTATCTTTATTTCTATAGGACAGAGCACTGGAATACTGGCCTGTGGCCAACCGTACAGAAATTAAAATTTTTAGGTAAGTCAGAAAACATCTCGTTCTGCTCTTACTATTTTTGACCTGAGATCTCACAAAGTCAGGATACAACTACTATGTAGGGCCAGATTTAAAGCGCATAAAAGCTCAAAATTAGTGTTCTGTTTAACTTAAATGTGAGAGAAATTTATTACTATACAGTAGAACAGGGTTCCTCAAATCTTGCCCTGGAGGGCCAATGCGCTGCAGAGTTTAGCTCCAACCCTGATCAAACTTACTTACCTGTGATTTTCTAATGATCCTGAAGACATTGATTAGCTTGCTCAGGTGTGTTTGATTAGGGTTAGAGCTAAACTCTGCAGGAAAGTGGATCTTGTGGGCCAGATTTGAGGATCCCTGCAGTAAAACGTATTTCTCAAAGTAATAATAATAATAATAAAATTATTAAAACTTTATTTTTAAAGGAATAATCACACTATTTTTCTCATTAATTGCAATAGTAAACCTCAGTTGTACAGCACTTTGTTTGCCAACAAATAAAAGGAATTGTTCAATTTTCATTTGATTACATTTTAAAAGATTGAATTGTTAATGTTTTATGTCTTCATTTGATTACTGCCGTTTTTGGTAATAAAGTTGTATTAAATTATAAATACAGAAACATTAAAGCAAACAACAAAGAATTTCTAAAAAAAAAAGATTGCATGTGACCATATTATTGTACAAATTGTAATAAAATATTAAGTTGTTAAATTTTTATGAATTCAATTTATTAGACATGTTTTTAGATTATTCAAATTTATTTCAACCATTAAAATGGAATGCAGAAAAATTAAGACGGAAAACAATTAATATGAAAACAATACAACTGAATTTGAGAAAAAAAATGAAACAGATTTTATAAGGCCATTTTTTTGTTAAACTTATTAAATTGTGGCTAAATTGTTTAAGTTTTATGATTTTAATTATTTGCTATTTGAATTACTAATTTCATTAATTCAACCATAGTCAAGAAAAAATTTAACCCAGAATTTCCTATCTCCAATGGCGTCTAGGAGTACAAATTGTAGCTTAGTCTTAGTCACTGTTATAATTATGAAAAAGACCTTGAAAAAATTTTCTCCCTTGCAAAAAGGTTTGAGAACTCTTATAGTGACTGATTTGAATTTTACTTTTAAGATTTTTTTGCCTTGTCTAATAGACTCAATGCATTTCTTTTGAACAAAATGTGTTTTTTCTTCATGCAAAATAATATATTAACAATAATTTCATCTTTCAGGAGAGGACCACTAGTTATTTCCAGAAAATACTGGTACCCCGTTTTAGAAATAGGTAAGAAATTAATATTTAAGTAATTCTCTAAATTTCATTAAACCCTGTGTAAAGCCTGATGTCAGATATTTTCTATTTGAATATATATATATATATTTATTTATTTATTTTTATTATGAAGGTACTATGAATGTACTATGAAGGTCTGTTGATATGATTTTATCTGCATGCTTAGTAAAACATTTCTTTCTCCTTTTTTTGGCAGCAATTAAAAAAGCACCTCCCATATCCCCTGCAATTACCTCAGCCGCAACATCAACAAAATCATTCAGCTCATCACCAGCAACAACAACTATGTTGCCCACTTCATCTTTCCCAGCAACTGCACAAATAACTACTTTAGGGCCTTCAACAACCAAAACAAAGTCTACCATTTCAACAGAGCCCCTAACAACCAGCATTCAAGAACATATCAGCAAACAGAAGACCACTACAAGACAAATATCAGAAACCACAACAGAGCTGCAAACTTCAGCAGTGCCAGCAACAATCACCACTTCAAAAACAACAATCTTACCAACTACCAACTCAAGACAACAAACAACCATTACACATTCTACAACTTCAGCAATGCTGCCAAAAACTTCCACTTCAAACAATATAGCAATAGAAACCTCAAGGCAACTAACAGCCACCACATCAAAGCTCACAATGTCTGTATTTCCAGGAACAGCCACTCCATTAAACACACCAGCAACTACCGCAATACAGCTAACAAGCAACATAATACCCACAACCACTAGAAATACATTGGGATTGACATTAAAATGGACACCAGTGGAGACTGCTGCATCAGAGGGTGCTTCAACCAGTACGCAGACAACAACTGTAAAGGATGGCTCAAACGCTCCAAAAGTAACAACAACTGCCATTTCATCTGCAAATCTGCCAGCTACATCAGGTGCGGGAGTTAGTTTTGAAAGTACAACAGCTGAAACAACATCCACAACTGCATCACTGGTTTCAGATACAACTTTATGGTCTACAGTGGCACCTGGAACAACAAATGCAGCAACAACAATTATAGTGCCCCAAACAGGTTTGACAAAATATGTTATGACTATATACAACTGTTCAAACATTTAGGAATGTTATTGATTTGTTAATGTTTTTGAAAGATGTCTCTTATGCTCTCCAAGGCTGCATTAATTTTAATAATTTAATCAAAAATGAAACATTATTACAATATAAAATGACCACTTTTTTAATTTAGTGTGTTTTAATATGTAATTCATTTCTGTGATGACAAAGCTGAACTTTCAGCAGTCACTACTCCAGTATTCAGTGTCACATGATTCTTAAAGGGGTCATATCTGATGCGATTTCAAGTTTTCCTTGCTCTTTGGAGTGTTACAAGCTGTTCGTGAATAGATAAGATCCCTAAAGTTGCAAAGACTAAAGTCTCAAATCCAAAGAGATATTCTTTATAAAAGTTAAGACTCGTCCATGCCCCCCTAAAACGCCTTGTATAAACACGCCCCCACATGTCTACGTCATTGTGTGGGAGGATTTGCATAACACCGCCCAAATGTATATGCAAAGAAAGAAGGCGTACCTTTGATTCTCGCTGTAGTATTATTGCCACCGCCATATCATGGAGATGCTGTGTTTCGTTGTGAAAGTGAAACTACTTTGTTTGGTCTTCCAAAAGAGGACACAACTAGAAATCAGTGGTTAAGTTGTATTTACAACACTATTCCAGAACAGTTCAAACCAAATATTCAGATGTGTGCAACGCATTTTACGGAGGACGAGGACTGTTTCCTGGGAGAGTAGCCTACAATGCCTGTGTTCCGGTGAATTCAGTTCCCAAAGAGATATTCTTTATAAAAGTTAAGACTCATCCATGCCCCCCTAAAACGCCTTGTATAAACACGCCCCCACATGTCTACGTCATTGTGTGGGAGGATTTGCATAACACCGCCCAAATGTATATGCAAAGAAAGAAGGCGTACCTTTGATTCTCGCTGTAGTATTATTGCCACCGCCATATCATGGAGATGCTGTGTTTCGTTGTGAAAGTGAAACTACTTTGTTTGGTCTTCCAAAAGAGGACACAACTAGAAATCAGTGGTTAAGTTGTATTTACAACACTATTCCAGAACAGTTCAAACCAAATATTCAGATGTGTGCAACGCATTTTACGGAGGACGAGGACTGTTTCCTGGGAGAGTAGCCTACAATGCCTGTGTTCCGGTGAATTCAGTTCCCCTGTTTCCCTTTCAGCGTGCATGCTGACCCTATACAATCTATGATGCTGACAAATAATGCTGATTCACAGCCTGTAAGTACGTTTTCATATTTAAAGGATTTGCCACTGATGATTCAAACGCAAGTTTTGAGCAGTGTAGAGTAGTGCTTGTTGTTTGTCGTTTCTTCGATCACAAATGCAGACATGGTTTTATGTTTACGCGGCGTGATGCAATGCAACGCGTAAAAAGACAGTATAAGTCATTATAATCAGTAATTATGTCCTCACTGGATGCAACAAATGCCTCGTTTATAATGGGTTTTATTGGTTTTGTCTGGTCACGCCGGGACATGGCATCACAGTATGGTAAGGGGTGTAACATTTCCGTCACACGCTTGAGGTATTCGCATTGCACAACGCACTGGATAGCTGGCCAATCAGAGCACACCTCGCTTTTCAAACCGATGAGCTTTGTAAAAATCGAGGCGTTTCAGAAAGGCGGGGCATAGAGGAGAAACAATAATGTACAGTATGTGGAAAACAATGTCATATGACCCCTTTAATTCTTAAAGTGATAGGGGGTCCGAGAAATTATTTGCTATAGCCTAAAGTATTTCCAGACTGTAAAGTCGCTTTTTTTATCATGATACATAGGCCTACTGTGATTTATTCCAAAGTGACTTATATGATGCATTTAATGTAAAATAATCTAAAGGAATGCTTGTGGCATGCGCCGGAAAGATGCTCAAGGAGACCGAGACGCGCTAAAGCAGCGCATTCTGTTGTTCTCTTTATTTTTCAAAGGCATGACATTTTGTAGTTATTTTGAACGTAACGTTACACAATTAAAAATATACATTTTACCATACGACTATAAATGACAGAGTATTAAGTTATTTCCCCTCGATGGGGAAAACATCCAAGTGAACATCAACCAGTACTCAATATTAATTTAAACTGCTTTAAATATGACTGCTGCTTATTTTCTGTGCACTTCTGCGCTTGACTGTAGTCGCGTCTGTCTGCTTATTGAGTTTATTTAACCCATCGCAATGTATTGGAACTGTGTGCACTAGAGTGACTACTCACCTTAATGTTGTTCTAAAGGCTTATTACTTAATAACACAAAAATGTCCTGCTCACACTTGCCAATTTAATGGCAGAGAATGGTGACTTTAGTTTTTTATTTTATTTTTTTGAAGCGGATGCATATCTGTCGTAAAATAATCCTATGCATCTCGTGGCGTATATTCCAAACATTCTGAAGATATACTGAGGGTTTGGTGAGAAACAAACTGAAATGGAAAGTTATTATATTTTATGAAAATTTTGCGTTGCAGTGCGAGTGCGCAGCAGCTCACGCCGCGTACAAGTGCATATCCTTTTGAGATATCATATAAATTATAATCAATTTTAATAAAACACAAGACTACATTGTATAACTTTAACAAGCAGCAGTGGAGGACTATTATTCTGCTGTGTGATACTGCTAAGGCAGGTTTGATCTTCGGCTGACACACAAGAATGAACCTCATTCGTTCTCACACGTCAAGCAAGCATTGAGCTCACGTTCGCCATAACTGATGTGTGTGTTAGTTCATGTATATGTGAATAAAAGCCTAAATGAAATCTGTTCATCATATACGGGTGCATCTCAATAAATTAGAATGTCGTGGAAAAGTTCATCGACCACATCCAGAAACGCACGAGCGGGAAGCCATCTTTAAAAAGACGCCCGTCGCTCGTGGAGCTCTTTTAGATATTTGCTCTTTTAGGAAAAAAGGAAACACTCTTTTAGAGAGAGCGCTGAAGCGCCCAGGGGAGGTCGTGGCGAGACCGCAGAATGGCAGCTGCAGCACGCCGAAGATGAGCAGCACTGAATGGCAACCCCCGCTGACGCGCCGTAACACCAACGCCAACTGTTTCTTCCAAACACTCGCGGAGATTCGTCCTGAGATGGCTCGGCTCCCGAAGCGAAAAGCTGATGTGCGTTTGCACGCGCTCTCCCTCAAATTGTGAAACTCGTGTATTAAATAAATTCAATGCACACAGACGGAAGCAGTTTAAGTCTTTGGTTCTTTTAATTGTGATGATCAAGAGGAAAATGAGAAACATTTTTAGAGACCAAAAAATGCAGATGAGCTTAAGGCCACTGTCAAAGAAACCTGGGCTTCCATACCACCTCAGCAGTGCCACAAACTGATCACCTCCATGCCACGCCGAATTGAGGCAGTAATTAAAACAAAAGGAGCCCCTACCAAGTATTGAGTACATGTACATTAAATGGACATACTTTCCAGAAGGCCAACAATTCACTAAAAATGTTTTTTATTGGTCTTATGAAGTATTCTAATTTGTTCAGATAGTGAATTGGTGGGTTTTTGTTAAATGTGAGCCAAAATCATCACAATTAAAAGAACCAAAGACTTAAACTACTTCAGTCTATGTGCATTTAATTTATTTAATACACGAGTTTCACAATTTGAGTTGAATTACTGAAATAAATGAACTTTTCCACGACATTCTAATTTATTGAGATGCACCTGTAAAGTGATCAAGTCTCTTCTGAAAACTGCTCGATTTCAATGGATTCATTTTACAATTTCTTTATGATTTTTTGAAGCATAAAAGTGGTAGTTGTGTACACTGTCAATGGAGGGACAGAAACTCATTAGAATTCATTAGAAATATCTTAATTTGTGTTCCAAAGATGAGCAAAAGTCTTAAGGGTTCGGAATGACACGAGGCTGAATAAATGATGACAGAATTTAAATTTTTGGGTGAACTGTCCCTTTGAGATAATGATGATCAGCTTCAGGAAAAGCAGAGAGACAATTTGTTTAATAAGGAAATGTTTTTGGTTTGGCCATTTTGGCATTTCTTTGTAACAGGGCCGTTAATAATAAATAAACATGGCAATGGAAAGCAACAGCATGAAAAGTAACCAAGCAAATAATATTTAAAAGAACATTGATAACGGAACATTTTTAAGGTGCAGTGTGTAATATTTAGGAGGATCTATTGACAGAAATGCAATATAATATACATAACTATGTTTTCAGAGGTGTATAAAGACGTTACATAATGAACCGTCCTGTTTTTATTAACTTAGAATGAGCAATTTATATCTACATACACCGCGGGTCCCCTTACATGGAAGTCACCACCATATTTGTACAGTAGCTCTTAAAGGACAGAACGCATTTCGTCACTATGTTGTTCTTGCGAATAAAACACTGACACAATGATGAACAAGTAACAATAATATTCGCAATAACATATTGATTTATTTATTAATTAAGTAAATATAATTCCTTAATTTACCTTTGTAAAGAAATCTCATCGCTGGCTATCTCTGCTGTCTCAGACTACGACATCTTAGTCCTGTATCGGCCACCGTAGCTTCTCTAAAGGGAAGGGTGGGCGGGAGACTGAGCCGTTGGTTGCAATTCGCAACCTCACCGCTATGCCGCTAAAATTTACACACTGCACCTTCAAGAAAGGGGGAAAAATTAAAAAAGAAAACAGTTGATAAAACAGTTGATTACTGATTACAAATAATATTGTTACTCTAAAAGATTTTTCATCTTTTTTATTGTTAATATTGTACACTAATTTGATGCATATTTGATACCTATAGGGGTAACGGCAATACTTCAGCCTACACAAACAATAGCTACAACAGAGGCAGTGACAATCAGTGCAGTACAATCTGCATCATCACCTCAAGTCACAACAGAACCTTTAACGGCCAAAACTGATTCAATAACACCAAGTAAAACAACAGTGTCTGCATCAGAAACAGCACCACCAACAACAAAAATACTGACATCTAATGATATTTTTACAGCGGCAACAAGCGCAACTACGTTAACATCAACAGGATCAACATCAGCATTGCCAGCAAATGTTACCAATGAGCCAGAACAATTCAGGATAACTACAACAGAAGATACAGTGACAACAACAACAGGTCTAGTAGAGTCTGCTACTACACCCAAAGATTCTACCTTGGTGCCAGTGACATCAGCATTGCCAGAAACTGAATTGGGCACAACCACTGCAGCAAATGTTAGCAATAAACCAGAAACAATCAGGATAAATACAAGAGAAGATACAATGACAACAAGAACAGGTCTAGTAGAGTCTGCTACTACACCCAAACCTTCTACCTTGGTACCAGTGACATCAGCTTTGCCAGCAACTGTATTGGGCACAACCACATCAGCAACTGTTAGCAATGAACCAGAAACAATTAGAATAACTACAACAGAAGATACAGTGACAACAACAACAGGCCTAGTAAAGTCTGCTACTACACCCAAAGCTTCTACATTTGTAACAGTGACATCAGCATTGTCAGCAACTGAATTGGGCACAACCACTGCAGCAACTGTTAACAATAAACCAGAAACAATCAGGATAAATACAACAGAATATACACTGTCAACAACAACAGGTCTAGTAGAGTCTGCTACTACACCCAAACCTTCTCCCTTGGTACCAGTGACATCAGCATTGCCAGCAACTGCATTGGGCACAACAACATCAGCAACTGTTAGCAATGAGCCGGAAAAAATCAGGATAACTACAACAGAAGATACAGTGACAACAACAACAGGTCTAGTAGAGTCTGCTACTACACCCAAACCTTCTCCCTTGGTACCAGTGACATCAGCATTGCCAGCAACTGCATTGGGCACAACAACATCAGCAACTGTTAGCAATGAGCCGGAAAAAATCAGGATAACTACAACAGAAGATACAGTGACAACAACAACAGGTCTAGTAGAGTCTGCTACTACACCCAAACCTTCTCCCTTGGTACCAGTGACATCAGCATTGCCAGCAACTGCATTGGGCACAACAACATCAGCAACTGTTAGCAATGAGCCGGAAAAAATCAGGATAACTACAACAGAAGATACAGTGACAACAACAACAGGTCTAGTAGAGTCTGTTACTACACCCAAAGCTTCTACCTTGGTACCAGTGACATCAGATTTGCCAGCAACTGCATTGCGCACAACAACATCAGCAACTGTTAGCAATGAACCAGAAACAATCAGGATAAATACAACAGAAGATACAGTGACAACAACAATAGGCCTAGTAAAGTCTGCTACTACACCCAAAGCTTCTACATTTTTAACAGTGACATCAGCACTGCCAGCAACTGCATTGGGCACAACAACATCAGCAACTGTTAGCAATGAGCCAGAAACAATCAGGATAACTACAACAGAAGATACAGTGACAACAACAACAGGCCTAGCAGAGTCTGCTACTACACCCAAAGCTTCAACCTTGGTACCAGTGACATCACCATTGCCAGCAACTGTATTAGGCACAACAACATCAGCAACTGTTAGCAATGAGCCAGAAACAATCAGGATAACTACAACAGAAGATACAGTGACGACAACAACAACAGGTCTAGTAGAGTCTGCTACTACACCTAAAGCTTCAACCTTGGTACCAGTGACCTCAGCATTGCCAGCAACTGCATTGGGCACAACCAGATCAGCAACTGTTAGCAATGAGCCAGAAACAATCAGGATAACTACAACAGAAGATACAGTGACGACAACAACAACAGGTCTAGTAGAGTCTGCTACTACACCTAAAGCTTCAACCTTGGTACCAGTGACCTCAGCATTGCCAGCAACTGCATTGGGCACAACCAGATCAGCAACTGTTAGCAATGAGCCAGAAACAATCAGGATAACTACAACAGAAGATACAGTGACGACAACAACAACAGGTCTAGTAGAGTCTGCTACTACACCTAAAGCTTCAACCTTGGTACCAGTGACCTCAGCATTGCCAGCAACTGCATTGGGCACAACCAGATCAGCAACTGTTAGCAATGAGCCAGAAACAATCAGGATAACTACAACAGAAGATACAGTGACGACAACAACAACAGGTCTAGTAGAGTCTGCTACTACACCTAAAGCTTCAACCTTGGTACCAGTGACCTCAGCATTGCCAGCAACTGCATTGGGCACAACCAGATCAGCAACTGTTAGCAATGAGCCAGAAACAATCAGGATAACTACAACAGAAGATACAGTGACGACAACAACAACAGGTCTAGTAGAGTCTGCTACTACACCTAAAGCTTCAACCTTGGTGCCAGTGACATCAGCATTGCCAGCAACTGTATTGGGCACAACCACATCAGTAACTGTTAGCAATAAACCAGAAACAATTAGAATAACTACAATAGAAGATACAGTAACAACAACAACAGACCAAGTAGAGTCTGCTACTACACCTAAAGCTTCAACCTTGGTACCAGTGACATCCGCATTGCCAGCAACTGTATTGGGCACAACCACATCAGTAACTGTTAGCAATGAACCAGAAACAATCAGGATAAATACTGCAGAAGATACAGTGACAACAACAACAGGTCTAGTAGAGTCTGCTACTACACCTAAAGCTTCAACCTTGGTACCAGTGACATCCGCATTGCCAGCAACTGTATTGGGCACAACCACATCAGTAACTGTTAGCAATGAACCAGAAACAATCAGGATAAATACTGCAGAAGATACAGTGACAACAACAACAGGTCTAGTAGAGTCTGCTACTACACCTAAAGCTTCAACCTTGGTACCAGTGACATCCGCATTGCCAGCAACTGTATTGGGCACAACCACATCAGTAACTGTTAGCAATGAACCAGAAACAATCAGGATAAATACTGCAGAAGATACAGTGACAACAACAACAGGTCTAGTAGAGTCTGCTACTACACCTAAAGCTTCAACCTTGGTACCAGTGACATCCGCATTGCCAGCAACTGTATTGGGCACAACCACATCAGTAACTGTTAGCAATGAACCAGAAACAATCAGGATAAATACTGCAGAAGATACAGTGACAACAACAACAGGTCTAGTAGAGTCTGCTACTACACCTAAAGCTTCAACCTTGGTGCCAGTGACATCAGCATTGCCAGAAACTGCATTGGGCACAACCAGATCAGCAACTGTTAGCAATGAACCAGAAACAATCAGGATAAATACTGCAGAAGATACAGTGACAACAACCACAGGCCTAGTAGAGTCCGCTACTACACTCAAAGCTTCAACCTTGGTACCAGTGACATCAGCATTGCCAGCTACTGTATTGGGCACAACACCATCAGCAATACAGTGACAACAACCACAGGCGTAGTAGAGTCCGCTACTACACTCAAAGCTTCAACCTTGGTACCAGTGACATCAGCATTGCCAGCAACTGTATTGGGCACAACAACATCAGCAACTGTTAGCAATAAACCAGAAACAATAAGGATAAATACAACAGAAGATACAGTGACAACAACAACAGGCCTAGTTGAGTCTGCTACTTCACCCAACGATTCTACCTTGGTTCCAGTGACATCAGCATTGCCAGCAACTGCATTGGGCACAATGACATCAGCAACTGTTAGCAATGAACCAGAAACAATAAGGATAAATACAACAGAAGATACAGTGACAACAACAACAAGTCTAGTTGAGTCTGCTACTACACCCAAACCTTCTCCCTTGGTACCAATGACATCACCATTGCCAGCAACAGCATTGGGCACAACCACTGCTGCAACTGTTAGCAATGAACCAGAAACAATCAGGAAAGCTACAACAGAAGATACAGTGACAACAACAACAGGTCTAGTAGAGTCTGCTACTACACCTACAGCTTCAACCTTGGTACGAGTGACATCAGCATTGCCAGCGACTGTATTGGGCACAACCACATCAGCAACTGTTAGCAATAAACCAGAAACAATCAGGATAAATGCAACAGAAGATACAGTGACAACAACAACAGGTCTAGTAGAGTCTGCTACTACACCTACAGCTTCAACCTTGGTACGAGTGACATCAGCATTGCCAGCAACTGAATTGGGCACAACCACTGCAGCAACTGTTAGCAATAAACCAGAAACAATCAGGATAAATGCAACAGAAGATACAGTGACAACAACAACAGGCCTAATAGAGTCTGCTACTACACTCAAAGTTTCAACCTTGGTACCAGTGACATCAGCATTGCCAGCAACTGTATTGGGCACAACAACATCAGCAACTGTTAGCAATAAACCAGAAACAATCAGGATAAAACCAGAAACAATTAGAATAACTACAACAGAAGGTACAGTGACAACAACAACAGACCAAGTAGAGTCTGCTACTACACCCAAAGCTTCTACATTTATAACAGTGACATCAGCATTGCCAGCAACTGAATTGGGCACGACCACTGCAGCAACTGTTAGCAATAAACCAGAAACAATAAGGATAAATACAACAGAAGATACAGTGACAACAACAACAGGTCTAGTAGAGTCTGCTACTACACCCAAAGATTCTACCTTGGTACCAGTGACATCAACATTGCCAGCAACTGCATTGGGCTTAACAACATCAGCAACTGTTAGCAATGAGCCGGAAAAAATCGGGATAACTACAACAGAAGATAAAGTGACAACAACAACAGGTCTAGTAGAGTCTGCTACTAAACCCAAACCTTCTCCCTTGGTACCAGTGACATCAGCATTGCCAGAAACTGCATTGGGCACAACCACTGCAGCAACTGTTAGCAATAAACCGGAAACAATCAGAATAACTACAACAGAAGATACAGTGACAACAACAACAGGTCTAGTAGAGTCTGCTACTAAACCCAAACCTTCTCCCTTGGTACCAGTGACATCAGCATTGCCAGAAACTGCATTGGGCACAACCACTGCAGCAACTGTTAGCAATAAACCGGAAACAATCAGAATAACTACAACAGAAGATACAGTGACAACAACAACAGGCCTAGTAGAGTCTGCTACTACACCCAAAGTTTCAATATTTGTACCAGTGACATCAGCATTGCCAGCAACTGCATTGGGCACAACCACCGCTGCAACTGTTAGCAATGAATTGGAAACAATCAGGATAACTACAACAGAAGATACAGTGACAAAAACAACAGGCCTAGTAAAGTCTGCTACTACACTACACCCAAAGATTCTACCTTGGTACCAGTGACATCAGCATTGCCACCACCTGCATTGGGTACAACCACATCAGCAACTGTTAGCAATGAACCAGGAACAATCAGGATACATACAACAGAAGATAAAGTGACAACAACAACAAGTCTAGTTGAGTCTGCTACTACACCCAAACCTTCTCCCTTGGTACCAATGACATCACCATTGCCAGCAACAGCATTGGGCACAACCAGATCAGCAACTGTTAGCAATGAACCAGAAACAAT